AAACACAAAAACTCCAATTGCAAGAGAAAGGAGCCTTTCAGGTTTCCCCCACCACCCTCCCACCCACCCACCCACCCACACACACACACACACACACACACACACACACACACACACACACACACACACACACACACACACACACACACACACACACACGCACGCACGCACGCACGCACGCACGCACGCACGCACGCACACACACACACACACACACACACACACACACACACACACACACACACACACACACACACACACACACACTTTCTCTCTCTCTCTCTCCCCTCCTCCCTTTGAGGTCAAAGCACTTCTCTCAAATTAGCTTCCACACAGATGACAAATATTTCAATAAATCATGTCCCTGGAGGACAGCTGGGAGTGTCCAGACTCTTAGAGTCCTCCATCAGGCTGAAGCTAAGGGAGATAAAACTTTCAACTCATATTGACAATAATTGGTCACCTTTTGGCTTATTTACACAGAACAGTATGAAAATAGCTGCTGAATGCCTTTTTGTGCGGCTCTTGTGGGCTAAACTAATCTGAAGTGATTCTATGTTAGATGAAGGAGACCTGGCTTCATCTCTGCCTTTATGACATTTTGCTTCCTTCGATTCTCATCTCAAGCTGAAATTCAAAGGAACAGGTTCATAACTAAAAGGAGATCTTGATGGATCAGGGGCCACAGAGGAGGGGGTGCCTATTGAGTACCACTGTTCTACAGTAGAAGTTCCAAAGATCAGACATAAAAGTCGAGGACAGCATTCCTTCCAGGCTTTTGCACCACAATTTTCGAATGAACGTCCTTCATCTGTACGTAGTACTGACAGTCTGGTCACCTCTAAAGGGATACTTTGCAACTATTTCATATTTTAAATCATTTTCTTGATCCAGTGTGTGCTAAAATCACCCTTGACAGGGTTAATGAAAGGCCACCCAGCCCCTATCGCCCCCTGTGGTCAGAATCTGGCACTTGCAACATCAAAGTTGCTGAACTGGTCTGTTGAGCTGACCTATCTGACACTGCAGTCTGCTTCCAGCACGTTTCCTGCATGTTTTAGATCATGAACACAGCTGATTTGTTTATTTAGTGATGAATCACTCCTGTAGACACTAATGAAGGCTGGGAGATGTTTCAGCTGTTAGATGAAGGTGTTTAGTCATTTATTTCATCTGTAAAATAAAATTTTTAATTATCTTTCTGTTGTTTCGTGAGGTTTATGCAGCTTTGATTTACAATCATTTATAAATGATCAATTATATAAATTTATCATTTATAAATTATGAACAGTTTTAACAGACTTTATGATTTGTTTTGTTGTTCTTTGCAAAGCTCTTTGTGGTCTTTCTTTCTGTGATAAGTGCTTAATAAATAATCTTTACTTACTTACGTACTCTCTTATGTATTTACTTACTCACTTACTTAATTACTTATTCATTACTTATACTTACGTATACTTATGTTTATGTTTATCTATTTGGCAGACGCGTTTATCCAAAGCGACTTACAATTTATAACCTACAGGGCATGTTGTGATCTGTGGGGGAAACCGGAGTACCCGGAGGAAACCCACGCATGCATGGGGAGAAGCTGCAACCTTCGTGCTGTGAGGCAACAGTGCTAACCACTGCGCCACCATGCAGCCCATCAAAGTCTACTTACTTACTTACTCACTTATGTATTTACTTACTCACTTACTTAATTACTTATTCATTACTTATACTTACTTACTTAATTACTTATACTTACTTACTTATACTTACTTACTCACTTAATTACTTACTCACATACTTATTAATTACTTATACTTAATTACTTATACTTACTTACTTATACTTACTTACTTATACTTACTCACTTACTTACTTACTCACTTACTTACTTACTTACTTACTTACTTACTCACTTAATTACTCACTCACTTATTCATTACTTATACTTACTTACTTACTTATGTATTTACTTACTCACTTACTTACTTAATTAATTACTTATTCATCACTTATACTTACTTATACTTACTTACTTAATTACTTATACTTACTTACTTACTTATAATTACTTACTCACTTAATTACTTACCCATGGACTTATTAATTACTTATACTTACTTAATTACTTATACTTACTTACTTACTAAATTACTTGTACTTACTCACTTACTCACTTACTCACTCACTCACTCACTCACTCACTCACTCACTCACTCACTCACTCACTCACTCACTCACTCACTCACTCACTTACTTACTTACTTACTTATGTATTTACTTACTCACTTACTTATTCATTACTTATACTTACTTACTTACTTACTTATGTATTTACTTACTCACTTACTTACTTACTTACTTAATTAATTACTTACTCATTACTTATACTTACTTATACGCACTCATACTTACTTACTCACTTAATTACTTACTCACATACTTATTAATTACTTATACTTACTTAATTACTTATACTTAATTACTTACTTATACTTACTCACTTACTAACTTACTTACTCACTCACTTACTTACTTACTTACTTATATATTTACTTACTCACTTACTTATTCATTACTTATACTTACTTACTTACTTACTTATGTATTTACTTACTCACTTACTTACTTACTTAATTACTTATTCATTACTTATACTTACTTATACGTACTTATACTTACTTACTCACTTAATTACTCACTCACGTACGTATTAATTACTTATACTTACTTAATTACGTATACTTACTTAATTACTTACTTATACTTACTCACTTACTTATTTACTTACTTACTTACTTAGTTACTCACTTACTTATTCATTACTTATACTTACTTACTTATTTACTTATGTATTTACTTACTTACTTACTTACTTACTTACTTACTTACTTACTTACTTACTTATACTTACTCACTCACTTACTTACTTACGAACTTACTTATACTTACTCACTTACTTACTTACTTACTTGCTTACCTACTTACTTACTTATACTTAATCACTTACTTACTTACCTAACTACTTACTCACTCACTTACTTACTTACTTACTTACTTACTTACTTACTTACTTACGTATACTTACTCACTCACTTACTTACTTACGTACTTAATTATACTTACTCACTCACTTACTTACTTACTTGCTTACCTACTTACTTATACTTAATCACTTACTTACTTACCTAACTACTTACTCACTCACTTACTTACTTACTTACTTACCTATACTTACTCACTCACTTACTTTCTTACTTACTTACTTACTTACTTACTTACGTACTTACGTACTTACTTACTTATACTTACTTACTTACTTACTTATACTTACTTACTTGCCTAATTGCTTATGCTTACTCACTTACTTACTTACTTAATTACTTACACTTACTGTTTTACTTACTTACTTAATTACTTACTTAATTACTTATACTCACATACTTACTTACTTATGTACCTACTTTTGTACGTATTTACTTACTTAATTACTCACTTATGTACTTACTTGCATACTTTCTCACCTACTTAGGTATGTACTTATGCACTTACACACTTATGTATTTACTTATGTACTTACTCAGGTTCTTACTTGCTTACATACTTATGTACTTACTTACCTACTTGTGTACTTACATACTTACCTAATTATGTACTTACCTTTATACTTACATACCTACTTATTTACATACTGAGAGTTTCATTAAATTTTTGAGTCAAAATACAGAAAAATACTTTTAGAAATCAGAAAAGCTCAACGATAGGTGAATGAGATTATCAAGATTTTAAAATGATACTTTAGTGAACATTTTCTTCTAAAACTAATAGAAGAAAGGGCGGAAATGTGCAGGAAAATCTGTTTTAAAGATGGAACTAGATTTAAATATTAAATTATTATTATTATTGAAATATTGATACGTGTGTGTGTTTTTGTTTCATGGGTAAGAAGTATTATAAAAATGATCAAAAATCAACACTAATATCTACATACTTAATATTGAGAAACATTTTCTTCCTGCAGCCTTCTGCTCAAACATAAATTTAGAGGCAACAAAAAGCAACAGGAAATAGTTCATTCTGTTGCCTGTAGGCACACACACACACACACACACACACACACACACACACACACACACACACACACACACACACACACACACACACACACACACACACACACGCACGCACGCGTGCACACACACATACACACACACCAACTAACCCAGTTCTGTTTTCTCTCTCCATGTCACGCAAGTCATTGCTGAGTATTGAACCCACAACCACCACTGTGCATATTATTTTTTCACTAAAAGCCTTTTTCTTGACCTTGTTTTAGGCCAGCTATGCAACAACACAGTCATTTCAAGTTTGAACTCCTTTCTTTATTTCATCTGAAACATGCTTTATTTTATGAATAAAAACTTGGTTCAGTGTTTTCTCAGGTAAAGGACCTCAGTCAGATTTCATAATTAGAGGTCCTGGTATTTCCTAGTTTAGATTCTAATTCTGTGAAACATGAGACATATTTTACTGAATCTAATGAAGACCAGGCTCTGATATTTATATAAAAACTGCTCCAACATTTGCTGACAAATCATACAGCCGCAGTAAATAAACTCAGTGAGAAGAAGCAGATCTGACGTCTGACGCTGCAGGTTATTGAGCAGCTCTGGTCGGTTTCATTACTGAAGATCATCATCAGTAGTTTTGTTTAAAAATAAAGAAAAAAAAATGCATTTCAAAAGGGGGGAATTTTAAATAAACAAATACATAGAAAGAAAGAAAGAAAGAAAGAAAGAAAATGAAAAAAATGGATTATCTCCTTTTTCCCCTTTACTTCAGTATATGAAACTGGTGGATGCAGCAAATAGTAACTTTAGGGGAAAAACACACTCGTGTTTTAACAAAATCTAAATGATAAATAGTTTGAAATGAATAAAACGTCTATTTGTTTGTCATATTCCCACTGTTCTCTGAGTTGGTCTATAAATGTTCACTTAGTTAAAAACGCCTCCGTTTCTTCTCTTTTGTTTTACCTAAAAACGTTGTAAAGTTTTGTTGATTGTTTGTGCTCTTACAGCTGTGACTCATTATTGTGATTGCATAAATAAAAAGGGGGGTGGTGATGCCGCAACCATCCTCTGCTATCCCACTGAATGCTGTCTACATGGTGTTTGTCCGTTCCTCCGTTCAAGTAACGGTTGGTTCCCCTGTCTGCAATGGCTGCGTCAACAAACGTTAAGAGGTAAATAAACTACTTTCCAAAACACATAAATGTTTGAATTTAATTTAATTAATAAAATATTCTTGGATAAAGCTTTTGATTTACCATAAAATTAGGGAACATTTATGGTCCTGCAGCTTGTTGGGATTAAAACATGAATAACCGGATTTTCTAAAAACTGCACGAGTCAATGAAATGCAGATAAGGCATTAAGGTGTAGCTGTTAGTTCGTATAAGTAAATAATGATGTTTTTAGTGTTACACTAACAGCATGGGGTGTATTACTGCTAATAGCCAGAAGGGGGTGTCAGAGGACCAACACGCAACTGGGAAATATCTAGAAAACATGAAAAGTTGCCTCTTCCCTCTATTTCTTCACGAAACATAAAAAAATATTTATCTTTTGAATAGTACACGGTTTTAGAAAATCCTTGATTACAGGTTCTGTTAAATGAGACAGAGCTACTTTCATTTTACCAATACCTTTTCTTATCTACAGAAGTTTAAGTATTCTAAGTTTGCTGAAAATCTGGACAAAATAACAAAACTGGAGCGGATCGATTCCGTGTTGTTTGTGTAATAACATGCGTTGGCCACAGGAGGGCAGTGTTACACATCTTTTGATCTATTTCCATTTTCGAGGAGTTTTTTTTAAATGTATTTTTATCCCAACAATAACAAAAACACGAGTCTTTTATAATAGTTGTGATGCAGAAAGGCCCATTTCTCTCAGTAAAATGTAATATTACTGGTTTAAATTTGGTTTGAGCAGCAAAACCATCAACATCATTATTTCCCTTTCTTCTAAAATGTGTGCCAAAATGTTAAAAATAAAAATATATGACATAATAATGAATGCCATTTTAAAGAATGACACTTATTCAGTAAATGTTCAGTATCAGAACACAATGACATGTAGAAGAAATGTGTGTTTTTTTACGTGTCGCATAGTAATTTTGTTACGATTTATCAACATGCATTTCACTTTTAGTGCACACTATTATATTTAGAGCCTTCTTCACACCTGCGTGTTTATTTCTTTGCTCAGATTGTGAGGGTGTAAAACCACTGAGGAGCAGATCGGCTCATTAGAAGATCATTCAGGAGCAGAAATGCATCAAAGACCATGAGAGTCACCACAGACTCGAATCACAATTTGTCACTTCAGATTATAAAGTCTCTGTATGAAACATCTTCATCTGACCTCATTAAACTAATAAAGGGACTATATTTTTATAAATACCCAATAAGCTTTGCTTTAACTCTCTTTAAGGTATTTTACAAGGACAGTTTAGACCTTTTAACCCTCCCACTGTCCTCATGGGGGACCCCGCCAGGAAAGTTGAACATTGAGCAGGATTGATGGTTTATTCCTTGAGGTCCACATGGCAGGAGTGAGGTGGTGCTCTCTGTTAAAGTAGAGTTCAGGGAAATAGTTTTAAACACGTACTTCTCACCTGCCCTTAGAGAGGACCTCGGACCAGAAAAACTGACTATCACTGAGCAGATAAGCTAAAGGCTAGTTTCAACAACTCTAATGTCGGACTATTAAAAACATTTCTTCTTCTGTGTTACGATAGTTGTATTTATAAAATTAAGTTAAAGTTGTTTTTTTTTCCCAAATTGTAAAAGCTGTGGCCCTTCTGGACTCCAGCCTGCAACTCCTCCACAAGAATATCAAAATAAACGTCTAATAAGTGCCTTTCAGAGTCAGAGGACTCCAAAGCGCTTTACACTACAGTGTTTCATTCATCCACACACACACACACACACACACACACACACACACACACACACACACACACACACACACACACACACACACACACACACACACACACACACACACACACACACACACGAAGAGTTACACTGTAGCTACATCTGCCCCGGGGTGCACTAACAGAGGCTGCACAGGGGCCACCGGTCTTTCAGAAGGACCCAGTCCACTTTGAAACAGATTCTGTTTGAACAAGATTGATCAGCTAACAGCTAGTAGCAGCAGCATCAATACCTGCTATCCTCAAACACTTTTTAACATTAATTTTTATTTTAAACACAGATTTATAATTATTTACAACACTTGTAGTTGTGCATAAGGCAATTATTAAAAAAACAAAACAATTATGTCATTCCCACCCAAACTACCCCAGGTGTTCATGGAAGTGCTACAGCTAGCTGCTACTGTCATTGGATGTTTATTTAAATAACCCTTGTTATAAAGCTAACGGTGATGTGAGGGGGATCGCATAGTGTTTAGTTGAGTTGCTGTTAAAATATAGCAAAAAGAAGACTGACTCCCAGACTTGCTGTTAGCCTGTCAATCCCATTAAATTAAACTCCTTTTCTCCAAGCTGAGGTTGTTCAAAGAGCAATCTGCAACACGGTCTGAATCTTCTCTGTTAGATGAAGGGAGATGTCACCATGCAGCATGATATTTTTCAATCCAGCATGTCAGAAATGAGATTCTTTTCAAAGTTTACCACCTTCACAGAGAACAAGTCACTGTTGAGTCCAGCGCTGACCGTGAGCCAGGTTCTCCCAGCAGCAGAGTGGCAGGATCAAGTGTTCAGACAGCATCAGCAGCCCGAGCTGTCATCGACACAGACAAACAGAGCACTTTGGACAGGGAGTCTCTGTGGAATTCAAACGCTGTCCTGCGTAGAAAATGAGGCAAAGTCGAGCCGGTGGAGATTACTGGTGGCCGTCTGGAGACGAGGAGAGTTCACGCGTGGGTTTGTGCCCTTGTGGATGATGCACAGCCTAATTCATTACTGAGAGATGGAGAGCTCCTTCACATGCGTCCAGCGTGCCTTTCCTCCACACAGACTATCAGACCAAAGTGGCTCTTCAGAGGGAATCAGATGGGGAATGTCGGCAGGCACGAGGAGAGCACGGAGAAAATAATCTCCTCTGAGAACGCACTTCCATCATATAGCAAATGACTCAGCTTTCATTTCGACCAGATGTTTATGCAGCTAGCTAACACACACTTAAATCTAATACTTCACACAGAATCTGTTTCCTGCAGGATGCAGTGCACCAGGCCGGTGATTGATGTGAATCTAAGGGTGACCCCTGACCCCGACAACCCTCAGGGAGGCTGCAGCTGGACGGCTCACCTCCTGCAGGAGTAAAACTTAACGACTCTCAGAAATCTGAAATGTTTGTACTCCGCCTGCGCCACCGCACCTGAGACCCTGCATTCAGTTCAAGTTATTTTGATGAATAATGATGGCTCATTTCTTGCTCAGAGCTCTGATATAAAGTCTAGTTTGTGTTCATTTGTTCTCTCTGGACCTTTAGTGCACAAAATGTGGTAAACAACACATTTGTTTTGATTTCACTGTTTTCTGTACAAGTTTATTGTTTATGTGACTTGCAGAACGCCGCCGCCGCTGGATGGTGCAACGCAACGTCAAACACATCAGCAGAAGAATCCAAGAGGTGTTCATACTTGGTGTCTAAATGAAAACGAAGCCCAGATGCGAATAAAAGAAACGGGTCAGCATATCGCTCGTTTCGGCTGTGAGTGATGTCACTGATCAGCGCCAAAAGGCGTCCATGGACATTATTATTAACATTAAAAGTTTGATTCTGTCAAAGTGTGCCGTAATTTAATTCCATGCAGAGGGTCAGGAGAGCGGCTGTGCAACATAAGATGTTGCCTTCAGTGACCAGGAGAAACGTTGTTTTTTATGGCGCTATGTGAGGAGACCACAAAGTGATGGGGGGGGGGGGGGGATTCCACCAGTTTTCAGCGGTAGAAGTTTAAAAATGCTTTTTTAAAGCAGCATCAAAGCTGCTTACTTTCTTTTCCTTCCATGCTGCTTCTCCAGTTAAACCTCTCATTTAAAAAAATGCCAGCTGTTTGGCGACGCCTGATGATGTCATTTCTCTTTGGTTTACAACCAATCAGCAGAAGTTAACTACACATCCCATACAGTGACTCTATTGGGCCGTTTCCAAGAACATACACCTGTTCAGGTTCTCTGTGCATCCCTGAAATGTCCCAGAAAGCGGCCCTTTAAAGTGACAATGTGTAGATTTTACTAATAATCTATGGAAATATCCATTGAAATGTTGTTAAAAATGAATAAAATTATGTCCAGTTGTTGAAAAATATTGGCTGATTTGTAACATATAACCATAAAATTTGTGGGTCTAGCGTCTTTGGGGGACACCATATTAGATGCCGGCTCGGGGTCCTGCTAGATGATTGGCTGGATGTATGACTTACAGAAGTTACGTAACCATGTTGAAAATCATACAGAAAGTATGTGTGACGGAACAGAATCGAAAAAGAGATGCACTATATTTGGCCGAGCATTATTGCCGTAGTTTGATGCCGTCATCAGCAGGCGCAGGACCCTGAGCAGATCCAGTAACTACAGCGCCAGAAAACTAGTATCAGTATTGCATTTTCTTGACGGAATTACCTGAAGGACCATCAAAGTCTGATGAGTCACGCTGAGATTGCGTGCTTTCTGCCCCACAGGTAACAACGTTTACCATAACGTCTTTTTAAACTAGCGACAGTCACAGTGATATGGTGTACAACTACTCTGAAAAGTATACAGTGCCCCCTAGTGCCTGGAAACTACACACTGCCACTTTAAGGCCGGTGTCGGTACAAGATCTGCTCGGGTGCAAGATCGGCTCGGGGTCCTTCGACTGCCGATGACGTCAAAGTACGGCAAACCCACTCGGACAAAATACACTACAAATCTATACTGTTGGAAAAAATTTAGCAGATTCGTTATTAAAATAATGTTTCTTAAGACGTACGTTTGTGTTTATAATGGTATTTGTAAAATAAAACACTATATTGTATTCATAATGTTGAACTCCTCTTTGAGCACATCCCTTGAAGGATCATAGGTATTAGCAACACCTGTGAAATTGTATTTGCAGGAAAGAAGTGTATCCCGTTTATTGAAGTATTTTGTATTTAGAGTTTTTGACGTCTTGTCCATGCGTAGTTCAGTTACGCTCATAGCTGCTAGCCAAAACTCTGGAGTTAAAAGTTTTCTGGCTTTACTAAAATACCTGTCTGTACTTATTTGATTTGATTTGGTATTTTTACTTTCTATTAGACTCCAAATGTAATCATTTGGCACGTTTCTAATTCATAATTTGTAATAATGTAATCGGTGATATTAGCATTAGCATTCCTATGGGTTTCTCCATGTATATTAGCTTTGCGCTAACCACTCGCTGACAAATTGCAGCCTTTGCGATTAGAAAATGTCCTTTTGTCACATCGCAATTTAATTGCACATGCAGTTAATCATTCTAATATACATGCAGCTCTATGCTTAAAGTGTATTTTCATAGAGGTAATGATGGATTTCTTTGTAAAAGTTGTCCATCTTTCCAACAGAAAGATATGCCTGGACCAACGTAACGTGATAACAACGTAACGTGATTACGTAATTCCGTAAGGTTCATGTTCAGCCAATCAACTACTTAGACGTCATCGGCAGTCGACGGACCCCGAGCCGATTTTGCACCCGAGCAGATCTTGTACCGACACCGGCCCACTTGCTGCCAACGTCCAGTAAAATTACCCAGAAGTTCTGATAGTGGAAACGCGCCTAAAGCAACATGACTGAAGCCCCAACAGTAAAACAACGTGCCAAAACTAACGCAGCTCCTGATTTGATGAACGCTCCTGAAACACTTTAGCATGTGGGTGGATGTTTTATCATTTAATCATATTAGAATAAATGAACCTGATGAAACGTGCAGATGTTATAAAAATATTCCTACACCCCAATACTCTTATTTTTATTAATTATAATATTAGCTCTAAATAAATAAACAAAAGAAATAGCAAAAATAAACTGTTTTTATACCTTTGTCTGAGTTATTGGGTGAAAGCTGCTAAAATATTCTAGTTTTATGCAAAGTGAAGAGACTTGATAAAGTCCCAGGTTCAGCCCTATCAGCCGTCCTGCTGAGACCTTGACTAGCTTTTATCTGAGCCGATAAATGATTAAACGCTGCCCTCCTGAACCGTCGCCGTCTGCGAGTGTGGGCTTTTATTATGCATGAGCTAATGAAATACAGCAGGTTTCTTTAGAAATGATGACTGAAGATCAAAATAAAGTTCACCAAACTTATTGAAAAAACTCTAAAACATGCTTTTTGGACACGTTTACTAAACTGTGTACAAAGCAGATGAACCCCCAGCTCCTGGGCTGCTTTTGTTTCTTTGTTGGGTAGAAAAAAACTTTTCTTCTCCTTGTTTGACCTTTGCAGCAAAGCGAGGAGAGAGGATTTACGTGATAACAAGTGAGACAGGAGAAGTAACACCGGCTCTCCTGAGAGCACAAGAACAATCTAAAATCTCAGAAAATAGACTTTTTTTTTTTTTTACTTTGAACAGCAAGAAAGCTGCTAAAGTGGAAGCTGCACTTTTCAAAAATACAAAGACAGACTCCGATTTGAGAGGAGCACTCCAGCAGGAGACGGAAGAATTCTTTCTTTCTTTACACAAGTTCAGACCATTCCTTCAGGTTGTTTGATGATACCATGAAGATGTTCCAAACAGCCCCAATGAATGCCTAATGATCAGTCTAAGTGGAAGCTGTTGAACATCTGGGCGTGTTTCTCCATGTGGGACCAACATCTGGACTCTTCTGTCTCTGGTTGGTTTTCTACGAAGACGAAGCTGCTGTGACGGTCTAATAAGAGGACGTTCAGTCCAACAGAATTGTAACAGCGGGAGGTTCAGACTGCTGCAGATTCAGTAGGTGTGAATGTTCTGATGATTGGAGTCTGGACCGCATCCCTTCTGTACCTGGTGAAAAAGAGGCAGAATAATCTGGGGAGAGGCAGGGGACATCCTGGACAGGTCCCAGTCCATCACAGGGACAGTCTGGCTATGTGTGAGTATTGAACCATTGACGTAGATCCCTGGCCTTTAACCCTCCCATTGTCCTGATGGGTGTGACTGTTACGTGCAGCGCCCCTTTTGACCACAGGATGGCCTCAGTGGCCTTCTGCTTCACCTGTCTCCCGGTGAACCAGGTGTCTCCAATCGCTCCTAATCATGGCTCAGCTGTTAAAAGCTACCCTCTTGGTCTCATTCGAGGAGAAGGTCCAAGGGTAGAGTAGACTGGAAACAGTTTATTCTATTCTCTTCTCCTCGTGGGCTCATTTGGTTACATTCAGTTTGCTTGCTCATTTTGGTAAAGAACGCATTGTGAATTTGGATTAAGGATAAGACTGTTTGGCAATTTGACTTCGGACCGGCATTTGGACTTAGACTTTAGGAATATATATTATTATTCTCGGTTGTTTATTCCCATCCCCTTTTGGGTTGGTGTTTTCCATTCTTCCCTTCGGTTTGTAGATAAGCTCCTTTGTGTTTTGTATTTAGATATTTCTTTTAAGGTTGTAAATATTCATTTTGTAATAAAGTCCTTGTTTTTTATTGCGACACTGCACTTTATTATTTAATCCACACACAACTTTTATTACTCCCCTCATCATCTCTCCTAATAATAGTGACCCCACGAGGAAAGTTGACAATTGAGCAGGGTTGATGGTTTATTCCTTGGGTCCATGTAGCAGGGGTGAGGAGTGAGCAGCACCTCACCCCTGCTACATGGACCTCAAGGGATAAACCATCAATCCTGCTCAATAGAGCTCCGGGAGTTGACGTCACTTCTCCCGGCATGCAACAGTTCAAATCGAAACAGCGCCATATTGGCATGCAGAAGCCGGCAGCTGGACTATTTGTTATTGTCAGAAAACTCAATCAAACGGGAAATATGGTAGATTCCTGTTGTGCCCCAGGATGCAGAACAGACGCGGACGACATAAGGGATGAGCCATCTACAGGATTCCCCAAGATCCGGAGCGCCGCAAACGTTGGATCATTGTAATAAAACGTGCTAGTGACCAGGTGAAAATGAAGCTGTGGGATCCCGAGAGTAAAGGTTTTCGCTTATGCAGCGACCACTTCATATCAGGTACTTAAACCAACGTTTCCTCAACTGTGTGTGGTATTTATTTTAAATGCTTTCATTATGATTCTTAGTGGGCTTCCTAAACGTATTTTGGCGTGGGTTTTTCTGCCTTATTACTCACAGCAACAAGTAAACGTCACGTAAAACGTTGCCTCGTGGGTTCTGCGTTCTGCCGTTTTCGTGTTTTATGATCACAGCAATTAACCGGCTAAGCTGTATTTAATTTTTAAGCAATGGTTGATCAATTGTCAGATCACACATAAAAAGCACTTTGGATTGCTATTATCTGTCTCACCGAGACTACTTACGTGTAAATCTGTTACTTGTCCGTCCATCCATCCATTTTCATCCGCGTATCCGGAGTCGGGTTGCGGGGGCAGTAGCGTGACTTCCCTCTCCCCAGCCGCCGGAGCCAGCTCCTCCGGGTAAATCCCAAGGGGTTCCCCGGTCAGGTCCGGTGTTGTGCCGGTAAGAAGCCCGCTCCGACAGCTTCTGGCGTCGGAGCGGGCAGTAGAGTCGAGAGTCCCAGACCTTCTCCCCAGCTCCTCCGGCCGGG